CAGACAACGGCTCAGATGGTAACACAGCAACCAACTATAATATCTACTCAGCAAACTACTAGAGGCTCTACATCACAGAAAACAACTGCTGTTAGTACAAAAGAGACTACGCAACCAACAACCCAGGGAACAACGAAGGAAACGACACATCTATTAACTCTGCTAACTTCAAAACTAAGCACAACAAAGACGACAGAATCAACAACGTTAATGACACTAAACTCACAGACGTCACCGGTTAGAACCACACACACAACCACAATGACTCCGACGATAATAACGTCTCAGTCTACTCTTTTACAAACAGGTACTTCTCGTCCAGTGATTAGAAGAGAGGAGTTTCGGCAGGCTGACACATTCTGGACAGACCACGGGATGTAGTTCAGCGCGTCGCCGGTCGGTAGTCTACGCGGGTAATGTTCGCCCTTGGTCTTGCACAGCCGCAGCGCAGGGAAATAGCATCTTTCTTTCTGAGCGCTTGTTTTGTCTGCTATCAGCACACACCACACTCATATCTCAGTCTGTCTCTATCACACCACTAAATGTGTCAGTGTAGTTCCCTTCGTGTAGACTGTTCTGCAGGTCCTGAGGATACCGGTGTTGTTTCCTTCGTGTAGATTGTCCTACAGGTCCAGAGGATGCTGGTGTAGACTGTTCTACAGGTCCAGAAGACGCTGGTGTAGCTGATCTACAGGTCCAGATGCTGCTGGTGTAGCTCGGTTCGTGTAGACTGTTCTGCAGGTCCAGAAGATGCTGGTGTAGCTGTTCTACGGGTCCAGAGGGTACCGGTGTAGCTCCGTTCGTGTAGACTTTTCTGCAGGTCCAGAGGATGCTGGTGTAGACTGTTCTACAGGTCCAGAAGACGCTGGTGTAGCTGATCTACAGGTCCAGATGCTGCTGGTGTAGCTCCGTTCGTGTAGACTTTTCTGCAGGTCCAGAGGATGACGGTGTAGCTCCGTTCGTGTAGACTGTTCTGCAGGTCCAGAGGATGACGGTGTAGCTCCGTTCGTGTAGACTTTTCTGCAGGTCCAGAGGATGACGGTGTAGCTCCGTTCGTGTAGACTGTTCTGCAGGCCCAGAGGGTACCGGTGTAGTTCCGTTCGTGTAGACTGTTCTACAGGTCCAGAGGGTACCGGTGTAGCTCCGTTCGTGTAGACTGTTCTACAGGTCCAGAGGGTACCGGTGTAGCTCCGTTCGTGTAGACTGTTCTACAGGTCCAGAGGGTACCGGTGTAGCTCCGTTCGTGTAGACTGTTCTGCAGGTCCAGAGGATGACGGTGTAGCTCCGTTCGTGTAGACTGTTCTGCAGGTCCAGAGGATGACGGTGTAGCTCCGTTCGTGTAGACTGTTTTGCAGGTCCAGATGGTACCGGTGTAGCTCCGTTCGTGTAGACTGTTTGTTCTACAGGTCCAGAGGATATGACCACATCAGTTTTTGGACACACTTAACGATTAGCCGAAGGGCTTGGGGTGCGTCACTCCACGGCACAGTGAGGGAAGAAGTGCCTTTCCTAAGGGCATGTCAGGGGATTGCATTTAAGAACACGCTCTAGTAAATGGGCTGCCAGACCCTGGGGTGAGGTTAGCTGGCGAGGTCAACATTTTTCAAAGGATCAAGTTGTGCTCTCGTCTATAACTGTTTTATTTTATCAAAACTTTACACTTTATCATTAAATGATAATAAAGCAAGTCATTCTGTGAAGTCCTGCCTTTTACGTTTTCGATAATTTGTTTAATCTGGAAAGGATACGTGACACCATGATTATGTTAATTGGTGTGGCATCACGGGGAGTCAAACATGACACAATCGCCTTTGTCTTTGTGCATTCCACCAAACACCGAAGCAGGGTACGCGTAGTTGGAAGGGGCGAGGCATTTTCTTTCCGACCGGGAAAGGCTGAGTAGCTCGTACAGGCTGCTCGTTCCGAACAGACGCCAGGAGAGTGAAATGGGAGCCCTGTCGAGCTGGACAGCTGTGGGAGTTGTGCTGCTGATCATGGCGCGACTACAGGTCGCCAGAGGAGGGACGGCACTGGCACAGATCACACGTAAGTCCCTGAGAAAATGTCACTCAGTTTTCTAACATAAAGAGTAGTAACACCATTGCTGTTAACTGACAGATTGTGTCATTTGTGTAGCCATCATAGACCTATAGTTTTTACCGTTAGAAAAGTACTTGAATGTATCATGTCAGTGGACGTAAACAGATTGAAGTAAGGACTTCAGTGTACCTGTTTGTAGTACGAACTCTTGGAGGGATGTTTTTGCATCTACGTGGTACCATATATACATCTGTTTTTCTATCTTTCCACTGCTATGGTGAAACTAAGCTTCCGAAAAATCTGCCGTGTCTGTTGTACGTAAAATACAGTAATTTGTTTCAATATCCCCCCTGACATGTGGGAACAGAAGTGGCCATTTTTTCTCTTTTGTCCCTGGTCTTTAACACGGTCTTCACTAAAAGGTTAGGGTTAGTCCTAATTTGTTTTAAGTGGTGTGTATTTTTCCCAGCAAAGCGACTACGTTGTTCAATCATTTGCTCCTTCTATTTTCTTTTGTGTCTGTTCCTTGACACATTATTCATTAAAAGATTGTGAAGTCCTTGAAAATGCACAGCTACTAATTTTATAAACGAGATATATTTTGTATCAAATAAGCGGGAATCATCTTTAGAATGTCTCTAGTTTTTGATTAGATGAAAGGAACACGCTTATTCGACTATATTGTAATGTTTTAAGCTTCGTTTCATGACACAGGAGATTTTGTTTACCCTTAGCTTCTCCACGTCATGACTTGACTGTCAAGAGTTGTCTTCAAGGTCACTAAAGGGCGTGTGCATTTTCCACTTCATTAGTATGAACGCATGAGCCCACGTCAGAGTTTGATGACAGGGCTTCTTGGCACTTGATTTATATGTGTATTTTTTTCATTTTTCGTCAGACACTTAAGTCAGAAAATATTGTCCGTGTATCATGACAGTTTGCACATTTCAGCACTATCGTGGCATGAAATACACTTCTACGTGAGGGCACGTAGAAAACTAGACCACATTGCGCAATAGTATCGTCACGTTGTTGTTGTATAAAGCCCCTCTTAACTGTCCCTAAAAAGTACAGTTTGTTGTCCCTCAATTAGTACAAATCTACAACTGATACCAACACATTCGTATCAACGTAACGAATGTGGTGCTCATTTCTGGCTGGACGCAGACGTAAACTGTTTGCTACCATGGTACATCTGACAGCTAATCACGTCACGTGTCAAATGTCATGGACAGTCAACCATTTGTAATAATAGAATACCTGAGGCGAGATTATTTTACACAGTCAAGAAGCAACATCTTATAGGCAATTTCTAATACAATATTAATGTTATAACTAGATAACAAAAGAGGTTTGTGAACTATCTGTGATACTAAGTATAGCATCAAAAGGTGAAATTGGTATAACAGGATTATAAAGGGGACATATCCAGTCTACATTCAATTTGATACAATGTAAAATCACGTCCTGAGATTTAAAAAAACAGCCTACGTTGATACAATATAAAATCACGTCCTGTGAAATAAAATCTATGTTCACTACTCCAAAATGGGTTCAAAGACTAATTTCTATGTGATTCATTTTAGAGAGGACCACACTCCCAACGACGAAAAACCCTACGACGCACCACAGCACAATTCCAACAACGAAGAATCCCACAACCCATTTTACGACGATTCCAACGACAAAGAATCCTACAACACCAAAACATACAACTGAAAGGACTACAGAACAAACCACGCAGCCTACAACGCAAAAGACATCGGAAGAAACAACTAGGCTTACTACAACGGTGCAGGTCACCACGTTTCCAACGACAAAGAACCCTACAACGCCAAAACATACAACTGAAAGGACTACAGAACGAACCACGCAGCCTACAACGCAGATGACAACAGAAGAAACAACTAGGCTTACTACAACCGCTCAAGTCACCACGATTCCAACGACAAAGAATCCTACAACGCCAAAACATACTACTGAAAGGACTACAGAACGAACCACACAGCCTACCACAAAGATGACTACAGAACAAACTACGTTTCAAACTACAGTGGTGACCACAGCACGAACAACACAACCTTCAACTCAGATGACGACAGAACAAACTACACGGCAAACTACTGCAGCAACTACGACAGAGACCACAATGCGAACGACCACGCCTCTAGAGACGACAGAGAAAACAACACGTCTGACTACAGAGGTAACATCGAGGCCAACAACTATGGAGGCCACTCTGTTAACAACCCAAGTGACCTCAAAACAGACTACACAGCAAACTACTGTTAGAACTACGGAAGAGACCACCATACAAACTACACGGTCAACAACTGAAAGAACTACAGAAGAGACCACAAAACAAGCTACGCATTTCACA